GGCATTGCCAGGAGCGTCTGGGTTTTCCCACCATTTCTGCTTCATCAAGATAATTCCCCAGTCACACCGTACCTGAATTGGTGGACAGCATCTCACAGAGTTTGCTGTCATACGCAGTTGAGGGGTCACTTCTCGCATATCCCAGGGATGAACTGGTATCACCGCCTCCCTTTGGGAATATTTCAGAAATCACGATACACTCATCAGAGAAGATCATGGGGGAGCAGGCCTCACAGGGAAGGACTATGAATTCCAGCTCTGGAGATCTAATGAATGTGGCTGTGTCATTCCCAACTACTTTCCCCTGCCATAAGCCCCTTTCCAGCCAGCTGTGATTAAGATATTCTACAACCTGCAAGCATCCACTCATTTTGCCAGCTTTTCCATGGGACACCAAATAGGATGAAGTTCAGGTCTTACAGAATGGGTCTCTGGATTCCCTGCAGCTCCAGATCCTGGCTAAATGATGCTCAGAAATCGTGTTGCTTGACCACCCTAGACCTAGAGAAACAGGGTTCCCACCTCAATGTTTGGTCCTAGAGCTTATACCTGGGATGCAAGCATGGTATCTGTTGGATGGTCTGTGCAGAGAGGTTGCTGCTTGTTGCTTTTCGGTGCTGCAGTTTTCATTCCTGGTGCAAGAAAATGCATGTATTGAGCACAGCATCCATCTTCTCCATATCTCCCACAACGATGCTAAGCCCTCTCGCTTTGCTCCTAATAATGAAGGAGCATCAATTACTTTTAAAATGCTCCCCTTTTCAAATTAGAATCTGCTGAAAGGTCTGAGCTGGGCCAGCAGTCACAGAGCCCAGATTTCCACCCTAGTGGGTGGACTCATCTGAGCCAGCAAAAAGCCAGTTACCTAGATTTAGTAGAGACAAGCTAACAATAGTGCAAGAGATGAAAATGTGATTAAAAAGGATAAAAGAGAAGCACATAGAAAAGAACACAAGAAGGACTCGTTTGGGGCAGGGCTTGCACCAAGTTTTATGAAGTCAGGAAGCTCTGTTTCCTGCTGCTGAAATTCTGCTGCATTCTGCCCCTACCAAGGAAAACCACCCAGGAACAAACTTGCCTGTATCAAAATCGTCTGGTAAGAGCAGATTGTGCCTGTGACATGATGACCAGCCAGCCAGCCTGCTGACAGCACTGTAAAAATGTGCATATCAGCACTGCTCCTCCCCATTGTTTGGGACTAGCATACAAATGTAGAGGCATGGTGTGTCTCCCCACTGGGGGGCAAAGTTTATTACGGGACCTTTAGTGCAAGTTGTTGCGTCTTCTGCTTCTAGATCTGCAGGCTCCCTCATTAAATCCCTGGCATAGGAGATAAGAGACTGGCTGTCACGCAAGTGTGACATGCTGCTTCTTGCGGGCAGCTTTTCTTTGAGCCTAGGGAGACTGGACAGAGTTTGCCATCTTTTTCTTTTTTCTTTTTTTTTTTTTTTCACCAGGTGAAGCAGCCTTTTTTTTTTCTGGTAGCACTAATGGCAGATCAGCTTTATATACATTTATATACATTTCCTTATAAATAACATTCAGGTATTTTAAACACAAGGTAAAGTTCACCCTCCATTAAAGGAGCTGCAAGTCTTCACTAAGCAATTACCTTTTAAAGTTAAGTTTACTCCTTACTGTCTAAAGGAGGAAGTTGCTAGGTTAGAGACACCAGGAGTGGGTTGGTGGCTCTTTATGTTGCCTCGCCCCGCAACATTTCCTGTTACCTCTTTTCTCACATAGCAGGTTGGTGCTGCCTTCCTCAACAGATGCAGGCACAGGATGAGGTTTCTCTCTGCTTTCACCCTCGCTGTTGCTCTCTGCACTGTCCATTGTGGCAGCTCAAACCTCAGCTGCCAAGGAGAAAACTTCAGCAACGAGACTTCCAGCTTCAAAGCTAACGGTCTAAAGGAAAGGTTAAAAGTTAACAAAAATAAGCCTGAGAAGCCCAGGTCTGGTCATTTTACTTCCCCCCCGCCCCATGCAATAAGGAGGAGAACCTCATTCAGTGGTAACAACCCCACTGGTTTCAAACCCCTCTTCAAGCCATGTAGGCGTTTGCCAGCACTACTGAGAATGCTCAGGAGCATGGAAAAATCAGGTGTTTTTTACACCCTCTCCTGGAAATGCAACTTCATGGGCACATTTTGAGGAACTTCTATGGACTGGGACTTGCCAGATGAATGCAGTTCAGATCAGTTCAGTTCTGCTTTGTGAAAGCAAAGGAAAAAGTGCTGAAGTTTCTGTCCTGGAGTCTCTCTCTGTGCATTGCTTCATTGTTTTTCTGGTCTTCCCTTTCCTCCTCCCTGATACTGCCCTCAGCCATATTGTGCATGGCTTCTCTCTCTCTCTGAGACTTGGTCTCTAAAAATTTAAAACCTGTTCAACCCCTTTTCCATGCTTGCAGTTATGTTTTTTCCTCAAAACCAGCAAAACCAGAAGACAATTCAAAAGACAATGAATTTTTCCCCTTTCCTGCCAAGTATTTTTCCTGCAGTGCAGGAAGGGGTGAGAGCAGCACATTTCAAACAGCCCTGCAAACCCTCCCACCTCTGCTTCAGGTGCAGGGGGAGACCAGGTACCCTGTTCTGGCCTGGTCATGAATTGGGACAGGAGAAACCCGGGCAGGGACAAGGTCTCCCCTTGCCCTCACCCAGGCGGGAGGCTTCCTCAGCCCTGCTGGGTGCCTGCAGACCAGAGGCTGGAGGTGCTAGCTCAGGGGCAGCCGAGGCTCTGCATGGAGAGCCCTGGGGGCCAAGGCGAGTGGGAGAGAGGGGTGAAGCCCCGGGAGAAACATGGGGCTCCCTGGAGACCCTGTGGGGGGAAAGCACCCACAAAAACATCCCCTCAAAGCCTCCCACTTCCCTTAGGTTTAAAGTCTGCAAAGGCCTGAGCAAAACCCCTGGGCAGGACCCTGCCCCAGCCCCTACCTTGTGCTGTGGATGCCTCAGGTTCATCTCCCCAGTGGGCTGGGCTGTCACTGCCTCTTATAGAGCTGCCTGGGTCTGATTTCTCAGAAGTCAGTGGAAAGTGAAAGAAATTGTCAAGAGGTGGTGCAGCACTGCTTGTTTCCCTTTACAGGGTGCAGGAGGAAATTCCACAACAAGAACAATGGCCAGGGCCTGCAGGAGCGTGAGGGCTCCTTCCGGAGTATGTGGCACCCTGCCATGGCATGGGGCAGCCCTGGGCTTCCCTGGCACAGGTGTCATGTGGGGGTACCTCAGACCCATGAGCCTCCCCCTGCCCCTAGGACCCTGGGGTGCATTGGCCCCATGGATCCCACACCCCTCCCACAGTCCCTTGGGCTCCCCAGTGATCCCACTGGTGGCTCTGCCCCACAGATCTTCTCATGGTGCCAGGGATCCTTACCCCACAGATATTCCCCCACCCCACATGCATATCCCTCTGTGCCCCAGAGATCCTCGGGGTGTCTCAGCCCTACAAATACCAGGGACCTGAGGACTTTCTCCCCCTTAGCCCCCTCCAGCTCTGGGTGTCCCCAGGATCATGAAGTCCCTGGCATATGTCCCATGCGGTCCTTTCACGCAAGTCTCCAGATATCCTTGATGTGTCTTAGTTCCACAGATCCCCACATGGCCCAGTGTCCCTCAGCCACTCCCTGGCCCAATGGATACTCTATATTCCAGCCACCACCTTCCGTACTTGCACATGAGTCCAAACGCCAGAGCTCAATGTGTCACTGCCCAGCACAGTGGAGCAGTGCCAGCTGAAGAACATGCCCAAGGCTACCAGCAAGGCTGCCATCAGGAGGGCAGTAGGCCCTGGAGCTGCTCAGGGGTGATCCTCAGGCTGCTGTGGAGAGCCCTGATCTGTGGCCTTCCCTGCACATCCCTTGAGGTCCTGACTGACAAACCATAGTGCTGTCTCCCTCCTGCAGGTTGCCAAGAAAAAAGTGACCACTTGCTGACAAAGGACAAGCAACAGCTTATTGGTCACTCACTAAGGACCAATGCTTTCCTCACACAAAGACTTCAGGCACCTTATTCAAATATCATCAACACTTCAGTGAGCATTGTTGAAAATACCTCTTCTGTCTATGCCTCAGTCTGACGTACAGTCACAGGACAGCAGGGTGAGAACCTCTTTGTCAAAGCAACCACGACAGTCCAGACCATTCCTCTTTTGTGCCTGGTATATCTGATCACCTCAATTAATTTAATTTGTCTCAGAAGGTTATCTCTCACTTAGTGCAAGTTATCTTCAGGTGCATTGCAAGTATACTCCTGTAATTTACTCTTAATTACTTGTTTGCTTATATAGTGTTGCTAAGAAAGGGAAGGGATGCCATTTAGGTACCTAAATAAAAGCCAGGTGTTTGGCCATATTTACCCTCACTAACTCCCATTTTCACAGCTATAGAGGCTTTGGCTGTTGCTACCATAAGCTTTTTGCTAAAACCCAGATGCTTAATGAGGTAACTAAAAAAGTACTGAGCACTCCTGGTGTGCTGGTTTCAGCCGGGATAGAGTTAAATTTCTTCATAACAGCTTCTATGGGGCTATGTTTTGGATTTGTGATGAAAACAGTGTTGATAATACAGGGATGTTTTAGTTATTGCTGAATAGTTCTTATATGGCATCAAGACCATTTCTGCTTCTCACGCTTACCCAACAGCAAGTAGGCTGGGGGTGCAAAAGGAGTTGGGAGGGGACACAGCCAGGACAGCTGACCCAAACTGGCCAAGGTCTTTTCCACACCATATGACATCATGCTCAGTATGTAAACTGGGGGAAGAAGAAGGAAATGGGGAATGTTTGGAGTGATGGCATTGTCTTCCCAAGTAACCATTATGTGTGATGGAGCCCTGCTTTCCTGGAGATGGCTGAACACCTGCCTGCCCATGGGAAGCATTCTTTTGCTTTGCTTGTGTGCACAACTTTTGCTTTCCCTATCAAACTGTCTTTATCTTAACCCACGAGTTTCTTTCAAACTTCTACCCTTTAATTCTCAACCCCATTCCACCCAGGGGGAGGGAGTGAGCAGTTTGGTAGTACTGAGCTGTCTGCTGGGGTTAAACCATGACAGTCTTTTTTGGTGCCAAATGTGGGACTTGAAGGGTTCAAGTTAACAACAGATTTGATTGGATTGGAGTGTGATAGATTAAGTTTATAGTTGTTTAGCTATTAATGGGTAGATTCCTGTGCTTGCCGTGTGGCTTGCTTGCCTTACTATAAATTAGAGTCTAGTGCTTGTTAACGGCTGCTTCTTGCTTTCCCTGCTTTCTGGACTGCTGGACTTCTTATCATTTTACCCTGCTGTGCCTGGGTGCATTTTGATAGCAGCCATGGCCATGCGCCTGGACTGGCAGATGGCCAGGGTATTACTGCTGTTCCTGTGCTGCTGTGCTGGAGAGGCTGGAACTCCAATGTGAACATGAGTCAACGGGACTGTGACCTGGGGATGAGTCCACGTGGGAGAAGGACACCAGGAGCATCTATGGCCTTGGATAAGCCCTGAAGTGTCTGTGGCTCTGGATGAGTCCATGCCAGAGCAGGTATGCCTCAAAGCGCCTGTGGCTATGGTTATGTCTGTGCCACCGCAGATATACCTCTGGAGAGACTGTACTCATTAGATAAGGCTGCACTGGAGCAGACTGTGGCATGTGGATAAGTCCAGGCTGGAGCAGGGGCGAAGGGAGGAGTTCATTGCCATGTTAAACATGATGGTCTGGTCCAAAGGGACCAGGGGTGGAGATAGTAATGCAAATACCTTTAAATTGTTGTAACCCATTATTTGAGTTGCATGTTATAGGAATTACTGTAGCAGGGACCACCTGAACCAATGTCAGCCAAGCCTTACAAGAAGTAGAGCAAGTGCAGCAGTGACCCGACCTGAGATGGCTTTGGTGCCCAGTAACTCCGCAGAACACACCATCTCTCCTATCCTTAGTGACCACCGTAACAGATGGAGCCCTAAGTCATGGACATTTATGGACATTTTGCACAGACATTTTTCCATAGACTAAGGGAATGATATCTGTGTACATATCAAAGGATAGGAAGGCCAGGTGTGGTGGTGGTGGTGGTGGTTAATAAGGATGTATTAGATAGTGTGGGACCTGAGCATGATGTAGACGTTACGGAATAAGGGGCTGGAGAATGTGCTGATTTTAGCTGGGATAGAGTTAAACAGTAGCTTGTATGGGCTATGTTTTGGACTTGCGTTGGAAACAGTGTTGATAACACAGAGATGTTTTAGTTATCGCTGAATAGTGCTTCCACAGAGTCAAGGCCTTTTCTGCTTCTCACACGGCCCCACCAGCGGTTAGGCTGGTGTTGCGGTTTAACCCAGCTGGCAACTCAGCACCACGCAGCCTCTCGCTCACTCCCCCCTCCCTCAGTGGGATGGGGGAGAGAATCGGGAAGGAGAAAAAGGGTTAGAGTCGTGGGCTGAGATAAAGACAGTTTAATAAGAGAAAATAATAATAATAATGAGAATGGTAAGAGAATATACAGAACATAAAAAATGAATGATGCACAATGCAATTGCTCACCACCCGTTGACTGATGCCCAGCCCGTCCCGAGCCGCAATCACTCCCCAAGCCGCGATCAGTCCCCGAGCAGCGATCACTCTCCCCGCAACCAACCGACCGACTAACTCCCCCCGAGCATGATGTTATATGGTATGGAATAGCTCTTTGGTCAGTTTGGGTTAACTGTCCTAGCTGTGCTGTACTCCCAGCTTGTTATGTACCTGGCCGAGCAGAAGCTCAAAAAGTCCTTGAGTAGTCTGAGCACTACTTGGCAACAACTAAAAACATCAGTGTGTTATCAACATTCTTCTGGTACTAAATCCAAAACACAGCACTATGCTAGCTACTATGAAGAAAATTAACTCTATCCCAGCTGAAACCAGGACAGCTGGGTGTACAGAAGGAGTAGGGAGGGGGCACAGCTGGGACAGCTGACCCCAGCTGACCAAAGTCATATTCCATACCATGTGACATCATGCTCAGCAATAAAAAACTGGGGGAAGAGGAAGGAAAGGGGGGAATGTTTGAAGTTATGGCATTACGCGTGATGGACCCTTCAGATCCTTTCACCCATGGGAGTGAGCAAGTAGCTGTGTGGTGCTTAGTTACTGTCTGGGGTTAAACCATGACACCTGGACACCTGGCTTGGATAGTATGGTTCCCCTCTCCACTCTAGGTTTTCATCAAGGCTTCACCCTCTGAGAGTAATTGTTTGTTGCTGATGTCAACAGAGAGAGACAAAGCAGCCATGATAATGGTTTTATTCCAAGTACTCAGAGATACCAATCTACTGTTGATTCAGCACACTGAGTGGGCAGAGCTAATGGCTGACTTGGTGTCTGCACAATTATGGACATGAAGAAACCGGAATCCCTGTCTATAACTGTCAAGAAACCTCTGAGTCTAACGTACAATTGCTTTAGCTTTTAGCAGCACGGATGAACATAGAGCTGGTGGCGAACAAGCAAGCAGAATTGCGGACTCTGCTGGAGGATGCTTGGAAGATGTAAATGATGATATAGCAGCATCTGCTGCCATGTTGCAGGCTCTTGTGTGACCCATGCAGAGCCACAGTGACACACAGTTTTTCATGTAGCTGTGGATTTACTGGTCTATGGTTGTGCCTCAACACATAGCAGGGAAATAAGTGTTCAGTGCTTTGAATTGGCATGGAGCAGCAGGCGATAACCCTGCCAGACAGTAGGTTGAGATTAGCCATGAATGATGCAGATCTGAAACTTGTACCTTTTCAACCAACACAGGCTGGAAAGTAGTAGCTTCCTTGGATTTATTGTTAATGTTAGCCTTACCAAGTGCATCCACCAGGGTGTGTGACTGTGTGGCCACCGTCATCATCTCTGGGGAGGGGATGCGTGTTCAGCCAAACTTTTCTTAAGCACTGGGCAGGAGACTGACTTCAGTGGTAGTTGGTTCCTGAGGGCTTTGCTTCAGTGAAGGTAACTTTGGTGACTTCAAAATCTGTCCTGAAATGGCTTAAAACCAGCACTGGACCTATGTAAAAATATGCTAGTCTGGGCAATATCTTTAGGCTCTAAATGCATTAAGTTTTTGTTGTTGGTGGTTTTTTTTAACTAAAAAACTCTCCAGAACACCAAAATATATGTAAAGCTCTTACTTTACAAATGCATCTATCAGGCTAGCTCAGCAAATGTTTTCTTCCAAAACTCCTGTTCCATGTGTCAAAAGGGAATAGAGACCTCCATAACTGTAAGAAACTGAGAAAAAAGATCAATGCTTTGAATATCCTGCTTTTCTACATTTCCATAGTCTGTAGTGTTTACGCTTTAATATTTGTTCACTGGCACTTTGTAATCTTGGGTTTATTCTGTTAAAGGCCATGCCCTTCTCTTCTCAGAGGGAGCTACCGCTGTTTTAACCATTGTGTTTTGATGAGATTTATTCAGGTAGTCAGTGACCTTTCCTATACCCCCTATTGATTGTCTGGAATGGCTCAGCCTGACAAGGTGAAAATAGCTACAGTGTTTTATTGTTTCTAGTACTTGTTTATTTACCTGGTTATGCAATGCACTTATAGACTGGCTGGCTGATTGATTTAGTGCTGCTTCGTACTGCCGCTGGTGTCCTTCTGGGCAGCAGGACTGGCAAAGGACTTTCCGCAGTCGAGAGCTTATGCCAGTGACCATGCATTAACAAACTGCATGTAAGGCATTTTAGTCAAAGCCATCCCTTGTAAGCCATGGCTGTCCATGTGCCCAGTGTTTGAGATGATTGCAAATCTAGGCTTATACATGCTGTAGGACTGCCAGCTGGCAGTGCAGCAAGTTACTGCTGAGACAGGCTTGTGTCAAAAGCAGGCTAAATGAAACAGGGAAAATGTATTGTAAAACATCGTAAAAGAGTCACTCTAACTGCTGTCACTGCTATGTAACAGCCACTCAAAGAGCCAAGTGGACATAGGACAAACCCATGCTTCCCTCCAGCAATGCTTGTTGCTGGGATTATTCTGCAGAAGCCTAGGAGAGAGATCTCAGCAACCTGGACAGAGTGGGAATCTATGGCCAAAGTGTGACTGAAAAGTGTGAATGAATGGGGGAGACCTTATGTTGCCCTGGCAATCCAAGGATAAACCAGTTATGATGATCCAGGAGCCATGACAGTTTTTCACCTCTGCAGCTAACTTGGGACAGCTGTTCTATATGAGCAGCTTGAATCCTTTGACAAGAGGTGAGTGAAGGTGAGGTCTGGGCTGTCACAGGGCAATAGGCCAGTCAAACACTGTTGCACAGCATGGTCTTCCACAGTCCCTGGCATTCAGGAACAGATGATGGCCATTGGAAGAGCAAAGACCCATATGGAACAATGGAAAAGGAACATGAGGAATAGTTAGATTTGGGATCTAGGGAGTGGGCTGTACTAAGCTTAGAGATGCTCATGTTCTTCTCTTAGGTCAGATGTCTTTTCTCATACTTTTAAGCAAGAAGTTGTCAACTGACTGCTCAAGAAAGAATAAACTTTCTTCTAGTGACTCAGTCACCATGATACTCTGAAACATAGGTATGTGCACTGACACACATCTCTTACCTTTCTCCTGTCAATAAATGCTAATGATGCAAAGCTCTGGATGGTGTGCATGGAGGTAACATGTTATTCCTCTTGGCTAAAACTACATATGAGGGTAATTAACAACAGTGGGATAATATTGCATCTGGGATGACTGATTCCCAAAATCATTCTTAGAGCTAGATTATACCATCCCCTTAATGGGTGGAACCAAGAGCCTTGAAACACTCAAGGGAAATTTTTCCTCTGCTTCTTAGTGCTAATCAGGAAAAGAGAAGAACACCTCAGAGGAAGAACTATATCCTACGGAGGTGCCTGGTTCCATCAGAGAAAGTTGAAGTCATGGTGTCTGTGGAAGAAGCTGGTTTAGGATTACAGTTCAACCAGTGAAATCCAAGCAAGGACAAGACTTCTGAAAAATGGAGAAGAAACTTACTGAGATGATTTTGGGGGTCACAAGGGAAGTTATGGCTTCTTGATCAAAAGGAAGAGGCCTAAGGTAGAGCTAAGGGTGCAAACTATTTAGCAAAGTTAGTGACAAATGGACAATCTGTATCCAGAAGACCTGGAAGCGCAGCAGACTATTCAGGTGGAGAAGAGAGCGCTTCTGTCTGGAGAGGTAAACACAGTGGATGGCTCAATCTGTCAGAACTGAGGAGGTAATTAGAAAGAACTAAGAAAAAGGGGATGAGGAGTTCTTCAGAAGGCGGGCTTAATGATAACCCTTACTATTGGAACTACCCTAATTTAGAGTTACAGTTCTGCCAAATTTCAGAATAATCTCCACCTTCTCTACTGCTCAGGTATTTTCTCATGCTCTCCTGTATACACCACTTCTTAACGGGGATGTATAATGCATTTGCTTTGTGGCCCTATTTCAGCAGCTTTGGTTTCCAGTGCTGGTGACGGTGCACTTGGCTCCTTTCTCTGATGGATGAAATGCAGAGTGGTTGCACCAAAGTCAGACAAAGTACTAGTG